CACATCATAAGAGGAGCCGGATTGGCGTTTGGTAAGGGTGGCTGACGGCTGCTGAGGGTTGGCGTAAGAGAGAGAGGAGACCTGATCGAGGTTGGTCGAACTCCCAGGAGACGATCGGTGGCTCGATGGGACAGAGCACGAGAGGGGCTGGTTGGTGTTTGATTACAGACATCGAGAATGAATGAACAATTTAGACGACAAAAAAATTAGGTGGAAGCGGTTTTAAAAAATAACCACGTTAAAATTTCGCCAAACTAATACCAACAGACATTAAAGGGGTGGAGTGGGGGGGTGAATAACAACTGTTGGCAAAATATGAAAAGGAAGAAGTTAAGTGCGCTGGGTTAATTTTGGCTGCCCAGCACGTTCAGTAGTGGTGAGTTGGTAAACACATGATAAAAATTTAATTGCTAGCGCTAGCAGAAGGTACCGATTTACCTTCTGGCAAAATATCTACTGGGCTACAAAATGCGGTAGTTTGATGATGATACTGTGGCATGGAAATTGTAAACTACCATTCAATGGGTTTCTTTTGTCAGCTCTGTGTTGCAATTGGATTCAAGGTGAGTCTAAGCCCTAGGAGACAAGCTCCAACATGCAGCCTAGACTTCCGAGAACGGTCTTTGTAGAAAATTCCGAGGATAAGCCGTGAAAATGAAGGCCCGATAGGCAAAGGACGATTAAAAGGGTAGAAAGTATAGGACGACTCGGATAATAGTTTAAACATCGCAAACTTCCACGATTGATAGCGTGTCATACTAGTTTGAAAGCGCATTTGCTTGTTCATTATAAGTATCAAGGCACTTAATTTGAGCTGGATCGGATCGCCTGTTCGACTTGCACAGTGGCCGACGTGATATATATCCACTGCTTAATGCAAGCTAAGAGTAAATGGGTGTGTTGAAAGGCACGGTCAATTTCAAGGAAGGTTAGAGTATTGGCCTCCGGCAAAGGCCTTCTCTGATGCGCGGGTCCAAATCCCGCCAAACGCCTCGAGTTTTTTCACAATTGGGTCAGCCCAAATTTCAAGGAAGTAAAATGCTTCAATCGGAACCGAAAGTGTTTAGATGTCAGTTATAAAAATGACTTCGAAATTCCGCAGTCGAAAAATTACACAATACGACGGAAAGGAAGGCATTGGGTCATTTGATTGTTATGCTTTAATGCGCCATTTAACAAACCTCTACGCTTGATCAACAGTGAACATAGTCTAATCGGGACAGTGTGTTGGCAACGAAAGAAATTCCGAATTTTATCTTTTTTTAAATTTCAGCGATGATACTCATTTAAGCATTCAAGAAGTCAAGATAGGCGAACGAACGTTTTCGATTAATTCATTAGCAGGCCTATCTTGACTTTTTTTAAATTTCTTTCAGGAGAGCAGACAAAAAATGTCGGCCACCTATATTACCTGAACCGGCTGGCCAATCAGTATGGTGGAGGCACTTTATAGAAGGCCACTGCTTTTGGAAACCTAATTAGTCTGCGAAGATGAAAAGCTGTTTTGTTGGGTGTGCCGCAAGATAAACGAGGCTATTTAGACATGGGTTAAAGGCAGACTATAATTACATCCGAACCAGTTTACCGACTTTTTTGTAGAGGTATGGCATTTTAGATGCTGTTAGATAATAAGTTAGTTTCCTTTGGGGAATGCAAAGGAACTCCTTATTCTCGCTTCTGGACAGATAAGAACAGGCTGCATAGACGTTCTGTTGAAGATGCAAAGTAGCAACCACGCATCCTGCATACACAATCTTCCGCATTTTGTGCACATAGGTATTCTTCAATCTTCAAAGCTGTATGCCCACTTTGCTAGTCAGCCTTAGACGGCGGGAGACAATAAGACACCTTTTATTACGTGGGCATTCGACAGAAACGCAGATTCCCGGAAGATTGAATTAAGACAGTCCTACCAGAGATGTTTCCCCTAGGCGGAGTCTCTTTTAAGTTCTGCTGCTTTACTTTCGGTTTTGAATTGTATCAATTAGGTAATCCGAGTAATCTTGCATAGCATGCCTCAAACAATAAGCCTTTTGCGCAGTCAGTCCGAATACCATGCTTTATGCCGTAGACTACCTCTACGATTCAGGGTAAATTAAAGTACACCAAAAGTTCAGTTCAGTTGCAGTGGTTCATCACTAGTTGTCAAGTATTGCAAAACATTTCGCTTTACCACGGTGAGGGAGTAAGGGTAAATGCCCTGGAACTAGTATTATGCAACCCACAAATTAGAATAATTGGACGGAAAGAATTGGTAGAGTAAAAGACGGATAAAGCAGCATTTGCACGGAAAGCCGTACTGGATGTCATACTGAAAAACCATTCATGCTCACAAAATGGACAGTGCTGTAGCCTCATATCCAAAGGGAATTCAGGCAAAGGTGTGGCCATATCAGCCGCTGAATTCAATTTATTCTCTACGGGGTTTGGCCGACTCTAGTCACTAACAGGCAAAAATAAAGGCGTGAGTGAGGACGATGCGACCCTATCTCTATTCACTATGGTAACTCTGACAGGCATGTTGGTCATCACTGCGCCTTAAAGGTCATGGCTAGGGCGGTTTCAGTGTCAGGAACCCGGCCTTTCGTACTGAGAATCAAGTTACAAGGACTCCAGCTTAATTTGGCCGTACGAAAAACCTCACTGGGTTGATAGAAAAGTGAGTTAAACTGAATGCGTGTGAGTACACTTGTGGTTTGCCGTAAACTTAGGCTGTGCCTGCCACCACATCCGCACCATCTCGGACTTGGCATTAGCAGATGCTCGGAAACTGAACAGTATAGGAAACGCGAAAATAAAGGGAAGCGTTTTACAACAGGAGCAGGAAAAATTTACCGGGCAGATTGAAGCAGATTCTTTGGTAGAAGGTCGACCAGCCGAGGCAAATGGTGCAGTCTCGCAAACCTCTGTGCACTGAGGGGTAAGCGTGAGCTCAGATACCAGAGATTGCCGGTATTGTGAACGTGACTGAGGCGTGTTTCTGAAAATTCTCGTGGTAGAAACCAAGCTTGGGGTGGACGAGCAGGAAAACGACGTTGAACATGACATTGTCGATTTCGCGATTACTGAAGCTTCGGAGAGAAAGGTGAAACAATTAAGCCGACAAATCGAACGGTTAAGCAGAAACGTTTTCTGAGTCGAATGATGACCAGCTGAATTATTAGCGACGGTTTAAATGGGCTGCCTAGGATATAATGTCGGAGGTAGTGTAAAACACAATGATAATCAGATGAAATGCAAGTGGACTGCTAAACAGAATGGTTCCCTAAGTCAACAAGCAAAGAGACCAGGTTTAAACCCAATTCTATGTGCAACTAGAAGGCAAAACTACTTTTTATTGTTGTTTTCCACATATTTATTAGTTGCGTGTTCATACGGGTCGCAGACAAATTGCTAAAATAATCGCCCACAAGATCAGCCACTATCCCGGAGGGAGTGGTGGAGCCTTGTGCGTGAGTAGGATTATTGTAGGAAATACAAGCATTCGGTCTAATTAACTCTTCTTAAGAGTATCACGTTGAAGTGGAAAAACGACTGCCACACGAGTGTTGGTTCTTCAATCTGGGCGAAGAAAACTGTAACTACTGGGATATCACAAGGATGAGATTTGCCACAACGTCGCAAAAAGCAGGAGCCACTGTCATGTGGCGCCGATTCCCGAGGACCGGGTAACTCCGCCCAAAGACGCCGAGGTAGCTCGATAGTGCACTAGATCATGGCACTTACGTGAAGGGCAAACTGGATAAACAGACCATTAAAAAGGAAGCGACAACAAAAAAATATGATTTGTTAAAAAAACATGCTACTCACATGATTCGGTAAGGCTTCCATAGACGCAGGAAGAGGCGGAGTGGGGAACCCGGGGGGTGGATTCTTCGCTGGTGTTTGACTGGAAAAATGTAGCTAGCGATCCTGGGCCCAAGTATCGGACGAGGATGGCGTGGACACGGTGGGCAATAGTCTCTGTGTCTGTAGGGTGCTTTTCGATGCTGTTGGGAGTCGCGGAGTCCAATGAAGCACGATTTTCACCACTACTACCGCCATCGGAGTTCTCACAGGCCCGTCGAATTTGAGCGATTACTTCGGGCGGCAAGAGGCTAATCACTTGTGATACTCTGAAAGAGGAATAATGAAAACGGAGCACGCTATGGAAAGTAATGTCAACGGCAAAATTCAACTGGCCGATACTGAGCGGAAGGCACCAAGGCCTTTTTCGGCGTTTGAATGGCCGACTTTTAGCACACTGAGCGGCAACTTAGTGGCGGTAAGATAATAAAACTAAATTTCGGTGGGATTCACTCCGCGAAAATGCGTTTCTATTGCCTTAAAGACACGCGTAGAACTTTTCCGCGGCTCGGTGCCGAAACCAGCATTTATATTTATATTACAAACAGTAGTGGCGGCGGTAGTACTAGTAGTATCGGTGTTAAGGCATCAGCTCCACGACTTCTGTTGCAGGCACATACCACACACTAGGAGTCGCGTGACCACCAATTTCGAGCGGTTGGAGCATGCGCGCATCCAGTTCTCATGACAGCCAATCCCGGGCGTGCATAAATCTCGGAAGCATCCAATCAACTTAACGAGCTGACACTGCCTGGCCGTCGCATGAGACGCACACTTAGTCACGCGCGATCGCAATAACCTTTGCAAAGATGCGCGCACAATCTTAGGGCAGACCGCGCGTCGAAGCTTCAGACCGCCA